AGCGCGCATGTCTCAAGTTATTTCATTTTCTCTTTATTGTCCTCATATCCCTTTCTATCGAGCCTGCGTGGCTGGTAGCATTGTGGTTTCGACCATAGCAATTGAAACCATTTCAATTGAGACTGTCTTTTGTAGATCTGTATAAAACGCACAAAATTCAAATGTGGGCTCTGAGCTACCAGGAGTCAGATTTCCCTAACGCGATCACGAGGGGTCCTCGATGAAACACCATCTAATTCACCGGGTCACGAGAATGGACAAACTGAACCGAGTGTATGGCATGCATATACGGACCCAGGGAACCAAAAAAAACCGACGATCAACCGCGCTGTGACACCGGCAGGCGCACATAAGCTCGATAGTGCCCAACTAACACAGCCACTGATATCATTGCAGCTTCGTCTGTACGCGGACAGACGCTTATGCCCACACACTCGAGTGGTATATGTAGCACTGGTTCTCTCCAAAACAGTGCTAGATTTAAATGAAGGATGTCTTTTGAGTTAATTATCTTGTTGATTCTAAAACGATGTTTTCATCCCATGAAGAGCTGTAGGTATTGAATGTGTATGGGGGATACTCTCGCCTAGTTTCTCTATTTCGGACTACTGTGAAGCTTCGCCTAAGCCAGTAAATTGTTTTTTAAAAGATCGTTGGTTGCTTACAGTTAATGATTAAATGAACGCAAGTCCACCGTTCGCTGTCCTTGATGCACTGCCCAGTGGCCGTGCTGCCAATGACAGGGAGTGAAGATGTTGAGAGTGGGAGTCAGGATGAGCTTATGATGATAGCTGCTTTCATCTATGTTGTACACGGCTTGGGTTACTTGGATAAGACAGCTTGCTGTCTACTCTGCAGCATCCAGGAGGATGGTGGGTGGAGCTAGACTCATACCATGTGACATAGTCCATCCATACTTCAGCTACAATTCGCAAAAGAATACGGGAACAGTCCACAAGAGATCATCTATGAAACCACATCTAGTGAGAACCAAAACGCCAGCTGGCATATATACGGGGAGTGATCAATAGAAAAGGTCAAAAGCCAAGTTAGGGATCGGCAGGGATACCATTGTTGAAGTCCTGATAAGGAACTAATTCGAAGAAATTCTGTGTGTATGTGTGTTGGGCTGGGAGAGTGCGCGCAAGGGGACTCTTTGGGTAGTTAAGAGGCAAAGTAGGCAAAATAACAAGGAGAATGAAAAAAACGAAAAGAGGAGACAGTATGGATATCCCTCAGGGCAGAGAACCAACGCCGGGCCACATCAAAAGACAAGTAGGCAAGCAGAGAAGATTCCAGGCGAAAATAGCATCGAGACCCAAGCGTCGCAATATTTCTCACACCAACCCTTGCGAGTCTCTGCGATACTGTAAACCGACAACTGAGCCAATGCATCTCATCGTCCTTCCTCCTTCGGGTCCAATCTATGTCCTTGCACTAGAAGACCCGTCGCGCGTTCTCTTTCTCTCGGTTGTTCCATCCATCCTAAGGACGCGTGTCCATCAACAAGGTCTTTTTAGGTGTTAATCATTTACTCGGCGGCGGGCTTCTCGGCCTCAGCGGCCGGGGCCTCCTCCTTCTTCTCAGCAGGGGCAGCGCTCTCGGAAGTAGGCTCAGCCTCGGACGAGGTCCAGAGGGTCTGGTGGGAGTTGTGGGTTAGCGTATAGACAACTTGAATCACCAGCTGGGTTCAAGACTTACCAGGTTGTCACGGAGGAGCTGCATGATAAGAGTCGAGTCCTTGTAACTCTCCTCGCTCAGGGTGTCGAGCTCTGCAGACAATAATTAGCTCTGGCCAATGCACGTGGTAAACTCTGCATCTTAACATACCAGCAATGGCATCATCAAAGGCAAGCTTGGCGAGGTGGCAAGCCTGGTCGGGAGAGTTCAGGATTTCGTAGTAGAAGACTGAGAAGTTGAGGGCAAGTCCGAGACGAATGGGGTGAGTAGGGGCAAGGTCAGTGGAAGCGATCTCGGTGGCAGCCTTGTAGGCCTCCAGAGAGTAGTCAGCAGCACCCTTGCGGCGGTCGCCAATGGCGAACTCGGCAAGGTAGCGGTGGTAGTCACCCTTCATCTTGTGGTAGAAGACCTTGGACTCGCCGCTCTGGGCGGACTTGATGAGGTGCTCATCCAGGACCTCGAGGATATCGTCACAGATCTTGGCAAGCTCGGCCTCGATCTTTTGGCGGTACTCCTTGATCAGAGTGACCTGGGACTCGTTGCCCTTGGACTCCTCCTTCTGCTCAATGGAGGTGACGATTCTCCACGAGGCACGGCGGGCACCAATGACGTTCTTATAGGCGACAGAAAGGAGATTGCGCTCCTCAACGGTGAGCTCAACGTCGGCCGAGGCGACGACCTTCATGTTCTCAACCATCTCTGCGTTGTATTGTCAGAGATCTGTGTAACTAAACAATCTAGATTTAAGAGAAACCAACCTTCATAGCGCTCGGCCTGCTCAGCGAGCTTGGCGAGGTAAACAGCGTCTTCGTGACCCATGGTGAATGTGTGTTTTCTGCAGTCGGAACCATGTTAGCCGTTTTTTTTTTCTCTCTCACACATAAAATTTTCATTCTCGAATTGATGATGTTTGAGATGAGGGCTGGAAATCACGCCATCATGACAGTGCAAGTAGGCGATGGCGAGGGGTAGATTTCGACCCTCGACCCCCCTTCAAAAATACGGGGAAGGGCCCAGTTGAGTTTCCATGAGTAGCACACCAAACATCTCTGAAACAAGACATTGGGACCAAAAACTAAAGACCCCAGAGATTTGGCCGACCGTGACGATCGTGGCGGTTACAGGACCCTTGGTCTTCCTGTGTGTCGTTGGGGGGTATCGCAGAAAAGCGGTCGCGGCAACGGTTCAATGAGTAAACAAGGAGACGAGAGCATGTGGTTTCCACCGAAAATTGAGGCGCGATTCCAGGTTTGAATTTGGGGGGGGGGGGGGGATTGTAGTTTTCAAATGGTCTCTTTCCACCATGATTGTTGATTATGTGTGGGTTTTGCGGTAATGACGGGGGATGGGCATAGAAACAGGGCGAGGAGAGGGCAAATTCAACTGGGAAAACAACAGGAAGACACTGACCTGGTTTGTGAAAGAGGGTAAAGAAGGTGATTAAGGAATAGCGAGATGGATGGAAAATGGAAGTGAAAGAGTAGGAAGTTGAGAGAGAGAGGAGGTAGGAGGAAAGGAGGGGGGCAGAAGGCGGTGTTGGGACTGAACAACCCACTTCTTCGGGCTTTGTGTTTTTTGGTGAAATATAAAAAAAAAGAGGGTACTTGAAGTCTCTTGAACTGCTTCTTTTTTATTCTCTCAACAATTTTATTTTACACACTGAAAGTGTCCAGCAAAATATTACTTTTGGCCCATGTACTATACATTAATCTTCTCTCATCGCTTCTGTGTGGTTCGGTGGGCCTCCTACAGCGTCATCCCCCATTTTTCATATCCGCCAATCGCCCGGGGGTTCCTTGCGCCTCATTCGAGATCACAAAACCAAGGCAGATAGAATGGGTTCAAAACTGTTTAGAACGAAATAGTATACAGCATTAAGGCTCCACTTTCAAACTTTCTGTCTCGATAAAATGGCAAAAGAAAGAGTCACCTGTAAATTAATGAGGTGACCAGTGAGCCAAGTAGTTGAAGTACCGTATGCATAGACCCAAGTGGAAAGTCGAATAAGAAGGTCGCGACTTATCAGAAATTTTTGTTCACATGACCTGGACTCTGACATAAGCTTGCTTTTCCCGGGACCTCGGGAAAACTGTCACATGATGTTTCTTGGCACCAAACGTCATTTTGCTTTGATTCTCCTCGTACTTTTGTACTTTGTCAACTTCGTAAACTCATTTCATAAAATCTCACTTTACCACCCTCTAGCATCAATTTCATCATGCTTCGTCAATTCGTCCGTCCTGCCGCTACTGTCAACCGGGCAGTCTCCACCCGCTCCTTCTCGGTAGCTGTCCCTCGTATGGGCGAAGGTGACACCGGTGCTCCCCGCTCTAGCGGTGGTGCCTCTTCTGGGTAAGTGGAATGCACGTTGACTGCGAAACTAACTTCAAGTTCAATTACAACGCACAACCAGCTCCATGTTTGCCTGACCGCAGTTCGATGACATCATACGATCGCTAACATGTGTCCCTTTACCAGTGACGCCTTTACCAAGCGCGAGGCTGCCCAAGAAAGCCTGTACATCCGTGAGAAGGAGCTTGAGAAGTAAGTTTTTCAGAGCTAAGAACAATCCGGTTAGAGCGGGGAGCTAATTGGTTTTGACAGGCTTGCTCAGCTCAAGAAGAAGATTGCCGAGCAACGCAAGCACTTGGATGAGCTGGAGACCCACATGTAAGTGCAAATCTGGAAATACTCCTCTGTCGATTTCCCCTTTCCATTGAAAGTAAATTACATGGCTGACTAGCTTCTTTTTAGTGATGGCTTGAGCCGCTAGTAGCCTCCATGCACCTATTTTATCTCCTGTTTAATATGAAGAGCCCCTCCAATTGCTGTGTATAATACCATCTCCGCTCCAACGAGCTATCGTGCTTGTCTGCTGCCTTGAGATCGTGCCGTTTTCAGCACCTGTTCTTAAATAAGACATCGCTCTGCCATACAATTTTCTCCGCTCGTGTGTGCACAGTGCTTAGTGTAGTAGCTCGCTTGGAAATACCTTTGAGATGGCTCGGCACCATCAGCTGGTGTTTATTCGTAGCATTAACATCCTACCTGCATATCTTGGTGGTTTGTACAAGTGTAAGAGGTTCTCTTGTTTTCTATGGACGATTTTTATTGTTGGTAGGAAAACCTCGACTAACCCAAGAAAATTGCATTGCAGTGGACGGTCATGGTCGACTAAGTGTATCAACACTGTCCCAGAATTTACCAAGTTGTATGTTGCCAGCTGTCTCCACATAAACAAGGCGGGACCGTCTCCAGGGCTAGCTACGCTGAGGCTCCTTCCATCCTACCTCGACTGAACTTCCTACAAACACCCAGCCATGACTCTCCATATCCTACCAAATGAACTTCTGCTAGCCATAGCAGAGACCCAGAACTCACAGAAGGACATTAATGCATTTGCAAGAACCAGTCGCCGCTGCTATATCCTCCTGAACCCCTTTCTCTATGCGTACAACGTCCAACAGCACCAAGGGAGCGCACTCCATTGGGCAGCAATCCAAGGGCAACTAAGAACAGCCAAAGAATCACTCCGACAAGGAGCGGAAATCGAATCAAGGCACAGAAAAACAAGAAAAACGCCATTGATACACTCTGCTCAATGTGGTCATGCAGATGTGGTTGCATTGCTGTTAGCACATGGAGCTAACCCGCACGCCAAAGGTGGCCGGGGAACCAAGGACCCAATCACATCAGCTGTACTTCGCAACAGAGCAGCCGTCGCTAGCATTTTACTTGATAACGGGGTTGATGTGAATTTGACAGGCTACAAAGGCAGCCTATTGCATCTTGCGGCTGAAAAATGTCACAACAGCCGCGCGGCAGTCGCGAGAGTTCTTATTGAGAGAGGTGCCAACCTAGAATCTATGAATGACTTGAAACAGACCCCGTTGCAGGTAGCATGTGAGTCTGACTCCGTGGAGGTGGCCCGATGTCTAATAGAAAGTGGTGCCGATCTGGATGTGCGATGTCGACGTGGAAGATCGCTCCTGCATTTGGCATCCTCCACGGGTTCCAAGGCCATCGAATTGTTGGTGGAGAAAGGAGTCAATCTCGAGGTGAAAGACGAGAATGGTGAGACACCACTGCATCTAGCATGCTGGTTTGGCCGGGTGAAAACAGCAGCGGTCTTGCTGGATCAGGGTGCAGATATAGAGGCAAGATCGTCAAATGGGAGCACACCATTGCTGCGGGGATTGCTCTGGGAGCTCAGTGTACGCAGGGACCTGGGGCTGGCCTCTGTGACCGCACTCTTGCTGGAACGAGGTGCCAATCCAGGACAGGGAAACAACTCTAACATCACACCGTTGCATTGTGTGACATCTAAAATCGATGCACGGCTTTTCAAGAGATTTATAGAATACGGTGCCGACCCAGAGCCTAAAACTAGGCTGGGAGTGACGCCCCTGCATGAACTAGCGATTCACTGCTCACTGGAGTCCGCAAGGCATTTATTGCAAAAGGGCGTTGATGTTCAACCAAGGGATGGAAAAGGCAACACACCATTGCACCTGGCAGCGCAAATTAAAGATGTCGAATTTGTCAGGTTGCTGCTAGAGGCAGGTGCTGATCGGCTGATCAAGAATCACAAGGGTCAATTACCTGTACATCTAGCTAAGGATCAACTACCTGTGCATCTAGCAAGAAGAGCAGCGAAATTGGAAGGAGAACAGAAATTGGAAGAACGACAGAGAAAAGTGATAGATCTTCTGGAGGCTCGGGCCGAGCATCAATATCAACAATTTTGACCCGAAGAACATAATACAATAAGCATCCGAGAAGAATTTGTCAACCCTATTGCATTGGATTCTACAAAGGTTCAGATTTTTTAATCACAAAGCGCATGCAAGCCTTTTGTTGTGACCGACTAATAGCATTCCCTGACTGCAACAGAACATTTCCCCAAAGCACATGGAGGTGCCAAGTAGCCGATAACTCCGAGTTCAAATCATTAAAAGCCACCCATTTTACCGTCCTTGCATGAACGAGCGGTAGAAATCATCAGCGGTGTTGTTGTTGCCCATACCATTGTTGGGATAGCCGTATCCGAGACGGGCAGAGATCGATTGGCCAGCTTTTTGGGCGGCGACAACCTTGGACTGCAGGTCCGAGGTGCCTTGGTCGATGATCTGCAGCTGGGACAGGTGTGCGTTGAGAATGCGGACAATCTGCGAGATCTAGAGATATGTGTGAGTGAAGAAACCCCCATAAGAAGGGGGCCAGTGCTGGTTTGTGACGTACTGGTTCATCTGCCTTGTTGGTCATGGTTAATGTAGATGAAGCACCGTTGACCTCTTCAATCATGCTGGTAAGATCCTTGCCCATTTCGTCCAAGCGTTCCGAGAGCTTCTCGGCCAGTTTGTAACTAATGGCAATATCAGCAAAGCTAGAAACATCAGATTTAATGGTGCAGATTGCACTTACGTTGTCTCGCGCTCCTGGTCAGGTCCTTGAAGGGACTCTCCAGGGCCCACCTGCTTGGTGACCATTTCATCGACTTCACGCTCGTATCGATCCAGCCATGAGCTGAGCTCGTCCTGTTGGCCTTCGACCGCTGACAATTGGCGCTCCACCTCCTGGGTAGCTCGATCCGCATCAACAGTGCTGCCGTACAGCTTCTGAACTTTGGTACCATTCTCCACGAGCAAACGGTCCCACTCGGAAACCTTCTCCGCCTGATCACGGAAGTCCTTTTGATATTTGCCGAGATCTGTGGCCCATCGGGTGATGATTTCATCCATGGTTTTGTTCTTCAGACGTGACTGGGCTGGAGGAGCGGGCCCCGTGGTAGACTGTCCAAGGGAGGAGGGACCAGCTGGAGCAGCACCGGCAGCGGCTGTAGTCGAAGCAGCGGTGGGTTGACTACCAAGACCAGAAATAGATGTTGAACTGGCGGAGGTTGCTGGTTGAGTCGAAGTGGTAGTAGCAGCTTGGCCGAACAAGCCGCCCGTAGGTGCAGCAGGTGTAGTGGTAGCAGGTGCGGCAGTAGCCGCAGTACCTGGAGTAGTGGAGGGAGCTGAGGCCCCGAATGGGCCTCCTCCAAGGGGAGCCGTAGCCGGAGTAGTAGAGGTAGCAGCTGTAGATGTAGCACTTCCGGTGGAAGGGAAAAGAGACTTTTGAGGGGTAGCACTCGACGTAGCGAGGGCTCCTAGTGAGAGAGTTTGATTTGCGGTGGAGGCAGGAGCGCCGAGGGCCGGGAATGCAGACTTCGAACCGGAGTCGCCACTGGGAGTAGCCGTATTGCTGAACAGAGACGGTGCCTGCGAGCTTTGCACACCAGCCGCGGGTGCAGCTGCACCGAATAGTGGCTTGGAAATGGTCCCTGCAGCAGTCTTAGGAGTAGTTGATTCGGCCGGCTTGTTTACACTGAATAAGCCGCCACCGGGCACAGCAGCAGTTGCTCCACCTCCAAACAGCGGCTTGGTTGCTCCTCCTCCAAACATATTGCTAGATGGCTGCGTCTGTGAGGTAGCAGGTGTTGTAGATGACGGCGCTGTGGTAGGGGTAGTCGAGACTCCGGTTTTCGCAGCACCGAATGAGCTGCTGGGTGGGTTCGATGCAGGCGGGGGACCAGCAGGGGTAGTGGAGTTGTTGCCAAACAAAGCGCCTCCCGTGGGAGCAGGGGTAGCTGTTGGGGCCGCGGTGTTGAAAAAGCTCTTCGTACCTGCGCCACCGAACAGCGCATTGCTGGCAGGTGTGGTCGATTCCGTAGACTTGTTAGGAGTTTGGCTGCTGGCAGCGGCGCCAAAGAGTGTGTTGGGCTGCGTGCCAGTTCCGGATGGAGCCTTGCCGCCGAAGCTGAAGGCCGAAGTACCGCCGTTGGTCGCATTGGAAGCGCCTACATTGCCGAAGGTTGGTGTGCTTTGGCCACTTGCTGCATTTCCTCCAAACATTGACGGCGATGCGCTGTTGCCGGTGGACGAAGCTCCAACATTACCGAAGAGGCCACCACTAGACGCATTGTTATCCTTGTTGGCGCCAAACGTATTGCCCGCTGTGCCGAAAATACTTCCACTAGAGGCGCCGGTGGAGGCTGGGGTGCCGAAAGAGAACGCCATAGTGTGGGTGATCGAGCTTGAGGGTTGAGTGGAAAAAAGCTGGACTGAAAGAAAGCACCAGCGACACACGGAGCAGGACCTGCAGAATGGATCAAAAGATCCAGCAATGAGAAATGGAGCACTTGATCAAGTGATGTGAGTCTAAGGGTGAAATGACGAAAGCAGGACAAGAAAGTCGAGACAATAGACAATAATAATTGGAAGGAGTTTGGCAAGCACGCGCTGAAATTTTGCCGCCTTGAAAACAAGGCATAAATAATACCTGAATAAACCGGCCTACTTTTTGATAGCTAGTGCCTAAGGCAGACGTGTTCTGGGCTCACGTCGATCACAGGGAAACAAGTCGTCACTGCACAATACACACGGCCCCATCTTGCATTTTGAACTATTCATTTCTGTGTGCCCCTTCTTTCATGTTAACACCCTGAATTCAAGCTGCAATCATGTCGGAGGGGCCGTCCGATTTGTCTAGTTCGCATTTAGAGCCCCCCAGCAGGACCACGGAAATGCAAGATCCAGGAGCTGGTGACCATAGTAAATGACCCTTGGATAAACTTGTGAATGTGTTTGAAACTGAAACCTCTTCTAGCAGCTTCTGAAAGCGACAATGAACACTTCTCAGATGCCAGTGAAAGCAATCCCCAACTCCAGTCACTCCCACAATCCGGTCGCACTTCCCCTATCCCGCGAACACGAGTTGAGAGGGTTGACAGCAGTACCCAACTTGGCGAGATTCCCAGTACAGCAGCATTCGAAAATGGAGAACAGGATTCAGTTCCCGATGAGATCGAGGTTATTCCGGAAAGCTCACAAAGCCATACGCATTCGTCTGCGGGGTTAGAGGATCAAAGCTTGAATCCTGAAGGCTCACCAATTCAGCGCACAGTGGTTGAGAAGGTGGACCCAGATGAACCTAGCCATGGCGAAGTCCCCGGGACATTGGCATATGAACAGTGTTTCGCCGATGCTGTACCCGACGTGGTAACCAGGGCTTCAGATTCCGAGGCCAGCCCAACGCCGCTGGCATTCGACCCTACACCTCCTGAGATTGATGGAACTTCAACAGAAATTCCTGAGACACGGCTTGAGTGGGTGGATACTATGCCTACCGAGGAAGACCTGCCGCCACACCCACAAGCTCACACAAGCTCAACAAGTGATACATTACCCGACAAGGTAGAAACCGTCCCAGATATCTCAATACATGATACAGACCTGGGAACTAAAGACCTATCATTGGGGGATGACATGAACGACGACCACGGATATGAACAGCAAGAAGGGGGAGATGATTTTGACGAATTTGTAGAAGAGCAGGAAGACATGGGAGAAGATGATTTTGGAGATTTTGACGACGGCTTCCTAGAGCCCAGCACAGAGGAAGCCCCCACAGGCGAAAATGCGGCACCTCAGCAATCTCACGCACCTCCGCCTCTCACTAACTTTGACACATTCAAATCCACCTCCCAACTCCTCGATGCCCTCCAAGACTCCCTTAACATCCTCTTCCCCGAATCCCAAGACATAAGCTCTCTCCCCCCCGTCGAACCAATCCCAGACTCCGCAGCAATCTTCAGCACCGAGCGATCCCTCTCACTATGGTCCCAGCTCGTGGCACCACCGCCTCTCCAGCCCCAAAACTGGGTGAAATCTCGCATCCGTCGACTATTCCTCGTATCCCTGGGCGTGCCGGTTGATCTAGATGAGATCCTCCCAGCCTCCAAACAGAAAAAGCTTGTCCTACCTTCTATTGAGCTTGAAGGCTCCGGCGCAAAGAGCCCCAGCGCTCGATCCGCCAGTCAAGTCCGCAAAGAAGAAGGCAATGATAACAACACCGAAAAGGGGCAAGCCCCCTCCCGCCCGAAAGCTACTCCCCGCCGCGGCGCCCCGCCGGCACCGGAAATGGATCTCTCGGCGGTCCGCCGGCTGTGCGCCACTACCGATGCTGCCCTGAATGGTCTCACAGATTCAGAGTTGAGGCTGCATGTCCAGGAACTAAACCAGGTTGCCCAGCGCGCCAGTTCGGTATTGGAGTACTGGCTGAAGCGGCGGGATGGCTTGGTTGGCGAAAAAGAGGCTTTCGAGGGTGTTATTGAGAACCTCGTTAGTCATGTTAGGAGAGTCAGAAAGTAGACTTTCCTTACTTCGGGCACTTGGTGTATGATCTAAATGCCCATTGAAATAAATTTTGTATAATCTAACGTCGTTGCCAGAAGTACGGTTGATCTGGAATGCATGCAAGCGTGTTCTTAGTCTACACTACTGGAGTTGAGATTCAGCATGAAGCTTTGGATTCACTTTTTTCTTTGGTTGGGGGTATGTTTTCATTCTGTTAGTGACACTTTGAGAAAAAGAGAAAGAAAATCCGGACGCAGCCATAAGACCCGGTCTCCCCAACGCCGGCAATGACAGATCATGAGATAACGTGGAAGAAATGCATTTGAAGAGCACGCAATAAGGGGTATCTTTCTTTTCAAATGCATGCAAAGAGAAACGAAACACATTCGAGAGGCCAGGGTCGTTAGAAGGGGCGAAAAAGGGAAGAAATTTTGTAAACACAGATGAACTCATCAGTCCAATTCGATGACGGTATGTTCTTGGGTGCGAACAGCCGAACTGTGACTACCATTAGACACGTCTTTCCTGGGGCGCATGGCAACGGGGCCCAAAGAGTCTTCAGCCTTGCGCTTCGGAGACAAGACTTTGTCTGCGCCGGGTGAGGTCTCATCAGTGTCGTACTTGGGGGTCCAAGTACCATCAACTTTAATTTGGATTGCTCTGATCCCTTGAAGTCGGGTTGTACGGGCGAGCTCTGCATGTAGCTCGGCAAGGAACTGATCGACGACCAGGAACTGCGGACGGGCATCTCCCTTGCAAATCGGGCAGCGCCAGTTGTCGACCATCGGTGTCGGCCCGGATACCGACTTCCTGGTTCTTATGAACGTGTCACGGTCGAAGCATTCATGGTGGTTGCAGTGGCGCGAACGAACGGGGATATCGAAGATGCGTGCCATGAAGGGGTCCACTAGGTCAATTGTGAGATTGTCGGTGACAACTGCCAATTCATCGTCGTCGGTGATAGGGGAAAGCCGCTTTTTGATAGCTGCACGAGAGTCGGCGGCTGAGATGGACTTGATCAAAGTGAGTATCTGGTCGAACTCGGCAACCTCCAAGACCTCCACTCCAAAGACGAATTTGGAGGTCTTGCACTCATCCTGTCCTAAGATTATATCGAGCCGTACCCTGTTTTCACCCGTTGTGAGGTACTCGGTGATGTCCAAAGGTAAATCTTTTCCGTTGTGAACCTTTCGGCGCACATATAGCTCTCTGCCGTTCACAGTAATGTAAAAGACACTGGGCCAAAAAGTGCCCGCGGTAGCCCAGGTCTGCTCCGTCACAGTGTTCGGACTGCCCGGAAGACGAATGCATCGCAGGCGAATAGTCCGGCAACCGGGCCTAAAGGTCCAAACCGAATATTGGCTTTCTTTCCCGTGAGCTATGTGTGGGAACTTTTGATGCTCATCGTGCGTGAAAGAGAAATTCCACGCATAGACCGACTGGTCAACATCGACGATGGTCGGGTGTACAGCGAAGGTATTTAGATAAGTAAACAGATCAGTCCCAATTTCATTGCCATCTGAACCCTGTTTTACCAGCTTCTTCGTGGGATCGCGAAGATCAACCAAATGGAGGCCGAGACGCGTTGGATTTGGATTCACCATCATAGGTGCTCTGTAGCCAGGTAACGGGAGGAAGGCAGAGTTGGGTAAAGGTTGAAAATGCTGTCTCTGAGGAGGTACACGTGCGATCGGCGAAACAGAGGATTGCATTGTCCCCGAACGTTGTTGGTGGTGATAGTTATTGGGCCTTTGTGGTGGCATTGGGCGCTGGGCCAAATGGTTTGTGGTGGCCAGCGTAGATATGGGCAAAGGAGCGTGAAGCGACGGTGCTGACTGTGTAGAGGTGAGAGCACTCGATTGGAGGGGGGTTGTGGAAGGGTTAGCAGGCGCTACTAAATGTGTAGGCATCATTGTTCGCCGCTGCATTTGTTGACCATTTGAACCTGGCGTTGATTGGTGCCTCAGAGAAGGTGGTACCTGTTCAAGCGCTATCTGCCTGTGCATTTGTGGATTCATCTGTGAATTCACCGGATACCACGGTCCTGGTTCCCGTCCCTGTGACATGGGGTTGTAATGAATTGGTTGCGGGGTATTCTGCACTTGTGAGTTTGCACCAAATTGATGAGGGCCAACAGCTGGGCCAACAGCCTGCGAATTTGAGGGGAACTGCTGCAAAGGAGCACCCAGTGGGCTTAGAGCAGGTGAGTTTGTGGCAGGTTGACTGGTACCCGCAACCGCAGATCTGGGGTATGGTGACGGTATTCCTGGGGACATGGGTTGATTTTGAGGTCTGAGAGATGGTGCAGAGAGGGAGGAAGATGGGGTTTGTGGTTGATTTCCAGGCAAACGGGGAAAGTTGAGATACTGTTGGGCAAAATTCCAGTCATGGGCCTGCTGAGTGGTCTTAGGAAGGTCATAGTCCCTACACTGGTGGAAAACCTTTATATCTTTCCAGAAAAAGTCCAAAAGGGGCTTAACATATTTCTCGAGGTGAAGGCGCCGGGCAACACACATGAACATTACCGACATCAAAATCGGAGATGGACATGCAAGCACTTGCCAAAGATGAGACACCAGAGGGGGATGACGGGCCTGAAGCCAGATGCCCGGCCATTCAGTTGCAAGCCGTGATAAAAACTCAGGAACACCGGATAGCACCTGGAGATACCACGTTGTCTGCATCAGCCGCTGTGGAGATGCCGGAAAATGGGCAAACCAAATGGTAGCGGCACCAGGCATCATTCCATTGTCTTCCAGAAGAGGGATGAGTGATTGCATGCCCATCTCAGAAGCTCTAATTTGACCCAGTGTACTTGGATCAATGCTGTATCGGCAGTACAATTGATGTATCACCAGATAGAAAGTGTCCTTACGACTAATGGCCTGGCGCAATAGGTCGATCCGAGGCAGAATAACATTGGTCTTCGTCAAGTGAGCTGGAGACAGTACTCCCTTTGCAGATAAATCATCTACCAAGGCATCCAATTGAGCCGACCATTGTTTCCATGCCTCATCGGGGATGGTCGCAGCCCCAGCTCTCCCATTCTGCTGCGAGCTAGGTCGGGACCCCGAGACGATGGATTCTTGTGTGCTAGCGCCTGTGTCTGTGCCTGTGAGCGAAGGGGAATTCGTGGACCAGTTAGGTCCCCTTAAAGGGGACTGGGTCACACGTTGTGACGTGGCGAGCCCGCTGGGAGGAGATTGTCGGACTGCCATGCGCTCATCATTGCCACGCTGTGCCGTGAGTTGCTTAGAGATTGGTGGCAGCGTGGAGAGTTGATTTGAAACGATCGCATCGGCGTTCACAGGACTTTGAGAATTGGTACTGAGAACGGGTGAGGGAAGAGCCGTGGCTCGCGCATCGGGGTTTTTTGCCGTATGAACAGCACCGCGTGAGGGAGATTGGGTCAGGGTCTCACCAGGCGTGATGGGGGACATAGGAAAAGAGTTGAGAGGGACTGGAAGGTCAACCTCGCCGCAAGGATTTCGCATAACCGAGTTCTCCGGGACGTTAGTCCGCGGACCCATCCAGTTCCTCCGCACGCCGCCCAAAAACAGACTGGCGGTAGTGTTGGACTCTTCGATATGATCAGCACTAGTGTGCGATCGAGATTTAGGTGATATCATGTCGATATGAGTGTTACCCCATTCACATGTTGTTAAATCCTTTTAGAAAGCTAACAAAGACTGTTTACAATCATGTTTGAATAAAGAATCCTAGACTCCTTTTTTTAGCGCTTAGAGACCATAAGATACCATAATAGGAATGGTACCGTGGAGAGTGGAAGCACAATAGATGCAGGTACTACACATGGAGACCGAGGTAGTTCCGCTAACTACCATCCTCTACCATCCTAATGAAGTGATCCTACCATAGATCCTATATCAAAAGAACCAAAAGTGATCTCGATCGGGTTACCTAGACTTGGGCAAGAATGACCGGGTTCATCTGCATATCAGCCGTGCATGTGGACTTACGCAAACGGAATACTGAATTGTTCAAGTTTAGATTGCTAATTACAATTCAAGCTACTAGTACTTCTTGGAATTAAAATGTAATTTAAATGTAATCTGTAAATCAATTGCAAAATCACCTTGACAGTTGTTCAGTTCGGAATATCTCTTTCTCTCTCTCTCTCTCTCTCTCTCTCAATCTCAACCACGGAAAGTGTCCAAGTCCAGACTTCTGACAATTTGCACACGTCACTTTCGCCTTTTCGTCGTTGTAATTTTGGGGTAAATGGGTTGGGATGAGTTAGATCTATCTTCTTTTTTTAAAGGGGTGTCTCTCTCCAATTCACCAAGATTCTTGAATCTCCTTTGCGTCAATCTGGTATGATCTACTTCGTACATCGTATATGCAATATCATCCTTCTGGTAAGCAAAGAAGCAAAGAAGCAAAAAAAAAAATTACTTCCTCCCGAGGCCGGGATCCTTCGAGGTTCGTGCTCCCGAGCCCCGCGAGTTGTTTAACCTAATCCTCTCTAATCTCTCGGATGTCCATTTTCTTTTAGATTTCTCACATTCTCTCCCCTTTCCGCGAAATCATACTACTCTGGCCTCAAGAGGGATACGTGATACGCGATTGCAGTTTGCAATTTGCACTCCCCAGAGGGTGTCATGTCTTGCGTTCTCTCTTGACTAGAAACACGGAATATTTAAGAGATGGTTACCATGGGCCCACCACAGGGTGTTCGTCCCGGCGACATTCTAGAGGTTCTTCGTAAGTGACGTCGTGTGCGACACCTTGATTGTCGATGACGCCCGCTTCTCTGGATGCGCCTGGCCTTCTAACACTCCAAACTAGATGAATTTGGCGGGCGCGGAGAAGACGAACTGATCATGTTGCCCCGCGACAAGATTGAATTGATCGAGTTGGATGAAGGATTTGGAGATGCCTGGTTCTACGGCAAGAACCTTAGGACGGGACAGACTGGTCTCTTCCCTGCGAGTATGCGCGGCCCCCTCCCAGGATCTCCTCACCACTTCCCGACTGTTCCCCCAGCTAATATTCAAAATCTGTCCGCGATAGACTTTACCAAAGCCGGCCTCCCAAGAAAGACCCTCGCGGAGTCGCCGGTATTTGTAGAGTCGCCAGCACAAGTGAACCCTGCGCCCGCAGATCCATCGTTCGCATCAGTCGGAAGTGGGCAGAGCACCCCTCAAGCAACGCGCCACATTAGCTCCGAGATGCAATCACCGCAAAATGGGTCTCCCACACAGCATCGATCCGCCTCGTCTCCGCTGCCTCGCACCAGCCTGGCGGCCGACATTCAGCAAGCCTTTCGTGGTTCCATAGACAATCACATGAATGGCGAAGATAGTCCGGTCATGAACGAGACGCTGAGCGTCATTGACGAGCACATAACGGACATGAACACACCGCGTCATAGCGTGTCGAAGCAAGGGCCCAGGACGATCAACGACTCCGGTAGCGAGTACAGCAGCCATGTGGGCCACAGGGCTTCTTATATCAATGGACATGAAACCGACGACGAGGAGCAGAATCAGCCCACCGAGCAAGAGGTACGAAAATGGAGTCAAACGCAGACTTCAAGGTGCTTGCGCGAGCTTGGCATTGATCCCAAACACTGTAACATCTTTGAAGAACAGGAGATTACCGGTGATGTCCTTCTTGATATGGATCAAGACTTTCTTTTTATGAAGGAATTTGATTTTGGAGTCATGGGCAAGCGGCTCAAGACCTGGCACAAGATCAAGGCATTTCAAGAAGAGACCAAGGGCTTCAGTCAGCAGCGAGCCCCGAGAGGCTCTATCTCCTCTAGCTTCTCAGGACCTTCCGATGAACGTCCCTTGTCTTGCACTGGACTCACCGGTCCACTTCTTCCTCGGATTCAGACCTTGTCAGAAAAGAGCGGCGCTGGTTACCCACGAGCCTCTGCACCGGTGCAACACCCCCGATTGACTAGCAACAATAGCTTGCCCGTGACACCGCATACCCCTCCGTACAGCCATGATGCACCGAGGAGAATTTCTGCGGCATCGCTCCGTGATTTCAACCAGAATCGTCGTCATTCTTCTATTGACGCCACCCAACGCGGCATGTCTGAATCGGTGTTCGCCGGTCACCATCAAAAGAAACCCTCATTCGACCGGTCCTGGACTCTGAATTCTGGCTTCCAGTCCATGTCCACTCGCCCAGGAACCTCGGCGGGCACTAGTCCGCGTAGCTCCCCGAACGGACCGCTAACCACTGAGCCAGATCCTTACGACCAGTCTTATATCAACGCTCCGGATGAGATGGAGGACGTAGATCGGGGTTATTTCTCAGGAACCGAGGTTGACTCGCGCCGAAGCCGCCGCATTCTACAGAAACGAGGGTCCACCAGTGTCGGCGTCAATAATCACTCGCGAAAGTCAAGCTATGTAGAAGATCCATACAACGTCATCCCCCAGGCGAAGCGCCACTCCCGCATTGGCAGTGTGGACTCAATCCGTGACGCAGTGAAGCATGTCTCCCCCGCGGCCCAGGCCTATCATGGTACACCACCGAAAAGTCGGATGCGGAGCTTCAGCACGCGTGTCTCAACGGATAGAAGTGGGAACAATTCCCAGTCGTCAACCACTGATAGCAAAATTGGCAACGGCGGCGGATTCTTCGCCAACTTTTCTCGTGTTGGCGGCAAAGGTGATTCGGAAAGCCCCTCTTCTCGCGCTTCGCCGTTGCAATTCCAGCCGCTGAAAAATACCGGGCCCAAGTTTCGCCGAGCTATGGGCCTTCGTGCCATATCGGACGTTGTTGGAAAGAAGATTGACACGTCTGTGCCGCCTGACTCCCCGCGGGGGTCCGATCCCACCTCTGCTCGCACCGGATCCACAACTCCATCAGCGACTTCCAAGAGCTCAGAACGGCATAGTACAGATGAGTCTGGTAAGACTGCTACTGATGGGCACGGATTTGTAGTCCGTCCTCGGACTGTCAAGTCTAAAAAGGAGACAAGTGCCTATACTCGGGGTCTTGAGAAGAAGTCACCGCGCGAGCAAATGGATGGTTGTGATTATAGTGGGTGGATGAAGAAGAGATCCTCCAACTTGATGACCACCTGGAAACCCCGCCTGTTCGTTCTACGAGGTCGCCGTCTGTCCTATTACTATTCCGAGGACGACACCGAGGAAAGAGGCTTGATTGACATCACGGCTCACCGTGTCCTCCGAGCGGATCAAGATCCGATCATTGCTCTACACGCAACCATCACCGGCTCCACCGCGCTGCCAGCCAACGCCAACAATTCTGTGGAGAGCTCTGGCGGCACGAAGCTCATCACTCCCTCGGTCATTCAATCGCTGACCACCAAGGACGACAGTGGGCCGTTCTTCTTTAAGCTCGTGCCTCCAAAGACAGGCAACTCGCGCACCGTGCAGTTTACAAAACCGGCCACCCACTACTTCCAAGTCGACAATGTCCAGCAGGGTCGCCGGTGGATGGCAGCGTTGATGAAAGCGACCATCGAGCGTGATTTAGGACAGGCAGTGGAATCCACCAACAAACAAAAGACTATTAGTCTGAAACAAGCCCGGCTGCGGAACCAGCGGCCGCTGGAGCTGAGTCCTGCTTCGGGCGGCACCAAGACCGAGCAGACCATCGACGAGGAAGAGGAAGAGGCTGGTCTCCCAATCGAGGGCTTGAACATCAATCAGTCTGATGCTAACTCGTTTGAGGACACGAACAGCAGTCTGGACATTCATAACACAAACGAAGGCCTCGATCGACCTCCGTCTAACCCCCTTGGAGACTCGGACCAAGGCCACTCGTCCTTGCTCCCGGATCCTCTGGCCAAGACCGATGTTAAGTGAATAATTATTGGGGCCCTATTTATATGTATGTGACCTTGCTTGGAATGATGCGAAAGACTGCTTTTTTTTCGCCGCGTTTGTTTTATTTCTTTTTGCTGGCGTTTGTTGTGATATACCCCTCGCTCAGACTTCTTCCCTTTGTTGACTCGGGCCAATTCTGTCATTGCAGGTACGTTGGTCGCCGGGGGATTTGGGAGTGCGTGCTTAACTTGCTTATGGACACGAAGTTGACTGGAGCCGAGCGTGACTCCCTATACTAATTGCATCTGCAGATGTAGATAACATAATAACTAATATGGCTCTTTGCTCGGGTGCTTCTCATAGTTCTCACCGCCCAGCACACCTCAACTTCTTACGGGGGCAGTATGTGGCCCCCATCCTCCTGACATCGTTGTGGATTGTATACAAACAACGCACTGTAAAGATTTCCTAAAAGTAGGATAAATCCACTTGTATTGTTTGTAAAGACTCAGAATTAGAAATCTGTTTTGTCTTGGGTAGTTGAGTAGATTATAATCCTATATTAAACCAGTGTCCGTAGGCATATAGGTGCCATCTTGATCGTGTTGTCCGCACTCGTGATTCTTTTCCTTTCCACCATTCAAGACAATTCTTTTCAATATGCTGTATAGGTCTTTATAACATCTATCTCTCCTCTGTCATTATAGATTCCCTCATGTCCCTCTGTTGGCTGCTTTCACGCACCTTTGCGCTCCTTCTTCCACTCACAGTGACCGCCACTGTTTATCTTTATCTCTACCCAGTCCTCAACGGATGCGCCTTTCCTCTACCACAGTCTGTCTCTCAGTCAAGCGAGAAGCAGCTGAACCCTACTTCAGTGATCAATACACTTTTCCAACACCTCGGTGTTTCTACCTTAGACTCAAACAGTCAACCCGCCATATTTAGACTCCTGGTCCTCGCAGACCCGCAATTGGAAGGCGATACCTCGCTCCCTTTCCCCGAATATGAATTATACCCCCGCATGCAGACCCACTGGCGCGCCATCCAAGATGCAGTTGGCAACGCCTCGACTTCACCTTTGCTGGACGAGGACGTTCTTTCAAACATCACAACCGGTCTCCAAACCCTCGCAACCGAAGACATCCCACGTGCCTTCAAATCAGGCCTAAAACGCCTCGACCTCTTTGGCAACGACTTCTACCTCGCGCACGTCTACCGCACCCTCTTCTGGTGGACCCGCCCGACGCACACCACGGTGTTGGGCGACTTGGTGGGGAGCCAGTGGATCTCCGACGATGAATTCGCCAGGCGTGGATACCGGTACTGGAACCGTGTGTTTCGCGGCGGAAAACGGGTCGACGACAACATTACCAGAACTGGTGCTGCGGGTTGGAGCCAGGGTGAAGGCAGCAATGCTCCGCCATTGGAGCCTCTAGGCGCGGATGAGACCTGGGCCAGGCGCGTAATCAATGTCGCGGGAAACCATGACATTGGATACGCAGGGGATATCAATGAGGCGCGGATGGAGCGTTTTGAGCGTGTTTTTGGCCGTGCGAATTGGGATGTGCGGTTCGAACACCCGCCTATCTCCTCTGCGTCGGCTGGAGGTCAGGTTGTTACCCCTACTCTGCACCTGATCAACCTCAATTCCCTGATGTTCGATACCCCCGCGCTTTCTGCGGAGGTCCAGAGCCATACGTATTCCTATCTGAACGAGCTGATCGCTGATCGACTCTCGCCGGTCGAGGATCGGTCGGCGTTTACTTTACTTCTAACACATCTACCCCTACACAAGAAAGATGGTGTGTGCACAGATGGGCCGTATTTCTCATTCCACGATTCTGACGACCAAGATGGTCCCGACGGTGTGCCCCGGTGGCTTGACGGTGGTCTCAAGGAGCAGAACCATCTCAGCGATTCACTCAGCGCGAGCGGGGTCCTGCAAGGCATCTTTGGGCTAAGTGGCGACGAGAATGCGCTTGCTGGTGGCCAGGGCCGGAACGGGCTCATTCTTACGGGGCACGACCACACGGGCTGTGATGCTCTTCATTTCGTCAACCGCACTGAAACCACCGACGACGACGGCTTATCTCGAGCTTGGAACTGGGCTGCGAAGCGCTTCAATAAGAGCCAGCACATCGATGACCCTTCCATCCGGGAGGTGACCCTCCGTTCGATGATGGGAGAGTTTGGTGGCAATGCTGGTCTTCTTTCGGCGTGGTTTGATGAGGTTGCTAGCGAGTGGCGCTATGAAATCACTATGTGTCCAGCTGGCGTGCAACATTTCTGGTGGGCGGTTCATATTCTCGTGCTAGTGACGCTGGGTGTGGCTCTGCTTTGGTTCTTGTCTGGCAATGCTCAGGTAAAGACGGCTGTTCGGAGAGTCCAGTCAGAACTGAAGACTCAGAATGGACAGAAGAGATAATATTGGGCTTTAGACTTGTATTTTGTTGTGTTAATAGGATTGGATGAACTTGCATTTGGATGTGGGGGTATGTATACTTATTTCAGAATGTTATTTTTGGTCTAAACAGACCGCCAACCAGAAACAAAACTCATAGTGTGACCTTGGGCAAAATTGTAATTTTGGCTATATAGTTGTACAGACATAAATACGTTTTACGAATAGTCTATAAAGGGTCTACGTAGAGCCAGTGGTGGTCATGTCAGAGTTCATATATCGGCCAGAGAACAAACAACCAGGACCAAGCCCCCTCCCATACAGCATAAAACCTTAGGCCAGCCCTCGAGGCAACAAGCAAGGCTTTGCAAAAGGATGTGGTTTTAGAACAATACTTCCGAGAGCCGCCAGTAGAGGGAGGGAGAAACACGAAGATGGAGGATAAAACCGGCTTTAGAATTAACAGTTGGATTTCGTCAAATGGACCCCACCTGTCCAGCTCCCATTTTAATCCTATGGTCTCATATGCACCGCATTCCAGGTCCCAAGAAGATTGAGGTTTGGTATCGTTCTTTTTCTTTAAAAATTCGGGGTTTCTCTCTTTACATGACGACACCGGAGTTGGAGGCAATACGCTGGAAATGAAATGTTAGTTTTGGGTTGGAGATGTGAAAATAGACAGGAATCCATTTCCGGGTGGGATGTGCAACGTACGGGCCAGAGCTCAGCAGCTTCCTTTCCGACGGGACCGGTGATAGCGGAACCCTTCATCTCACCCTTGGCGTTGACGATAACTCCTGCGTTGTCCTCGAAGTACAGGAAGATACCGTCGGGGCGGCGCCAGGGCTTGCTCTGGCGGACAACGACAGCGGGCATAACCTTCTTGCGGAGCTCGGGCTTTCCCTTCTTGACGGTGGCCATGACCATGTCTCCGACACCAGCAGCGGGGAGACGGTTCAGGCGGGCACCGATGCCCTTGACGGAGATGATGTACAAGTTGCGAGCACCGGAGTTGTCGCAGCAGTTCATCACGGCGCCACTGTTTGACGAAAAACGGAACCGTTAGTGAATTGTTCTAGATCTTGAAAAAGTCGTGTTTCGAATGCTAAAAGTGGAGATCCAATTTTCTTTTCCTTTCTTCCCGCCGAGCTTGTTTCGGTTTGTTGCATGGTGTGAATATTTCTGGGGGCGTTTGATCGACTGAAAGGAGTTGTGGAATCCGGCGGGCAAGAAAGGCGCATTCGAAACAGACTAGACGATAAGGAATTTGTAGACGTACACAGGCAGACCGAGAGTCATCTTGAGCTTGTTGCCGGCGGCACCGCCACGACTGTTTAACCGTTAGTGAATTCGTTCTTGTCGATCCGTTCATTCCTCAATCCGAGCCCCATTCTATCCTCTCGACACAAACGTGTGGTGTTGCTTGTCCATGCTTGCAAAATAGTTCTGCATCGGTTCGGAATCGAATGGGGCCACCGAGGGAATCGCTGGGAGACTCACCCTCTCTTAGACATGATGGCTGATGATCACGGGGGAAGTTGGGTGAAAAAGGTTGGCGACAAGAGGTCGAACGTCGAGGATCCAAACTGGAGGTGTGCTTTCTCGCTTAGTGGGCAAAGTGCGTAAAATCTTGGCGTTGGCAGGTGATTGGCTGCCCAGCTCCATCAACTTTGCCCTAATGCTAGCCCCATTTGGGATGGTTTCTGGTGCCTTAGGCATAATTCGTATGCTTCTAGGGTTTGAATGTCGGGACATTTTGGAAGATTGCATCTCATTGAAAGATTTTTTACATTTGCAACCTTGAAAAAAAGAGCTAGGCGAAAGAAAAAGTGGAAAGTACAGTGATGAAGATAAAAAATGGAATGATTCATTGAAAGTCCATAAAAGCAACCCGCCGTCCCGCGAAACATGTCAAGATTGAACCTCGATTTGTGTCTGCTATTCTGTCACGAGTAATGCCCCCCAGTGTCAAGTAAGATGCGAGCACGCTGTTAAACCGTTAACACCTTTCTGCCATTGTCCGTTGCGCCAGACCCGATATTGTCGTCTTTGCATCACAGCCGATTACTCCTCTTTCTTGGGTTCTGACATGTGTTCCAGGTTCTCTTCCTTGGTTGCCGTGGCCTCGTTGTCTGCAGTAAGAGCAGAGGCTTTGACAATCTTCTCGATGGTATGACCGGCAGCCTCTTTCGGAGGGGAATGGGCCCGCACAGGGGAGGCGGTGGAGCCCTCGACCGGATGTTTATCCTCGGCGATTGACGCTTGAGTCGAAGCCTGTTCCAAGGCAATAGGTTCAGCGACAGCAGCATCCTCCATCGTAATATCTTCATCATGAGTGGGAGGAGACTGGTGTTGAGAGGCAGTAGAGGCTTCCTGTTCCTCACTTTCGATAGCCGTGTGATCAGCATCAGGAGCCTCGGGTTCAGTGCGTGGGGCATCGGTCATCTTAGAATCAATGGCAAAATCCATTTCTCCATCAGCCGCTGATGAGCCATCTTGCGGGGTTGCCATGCCACTATCCAGCCCAGAGTCCGGCTCGAGGTTTCGGTAGTTGACTTGGTTGCGGCGGCGCGTGGCGCCTGGTTGGCGACGAACGCCGTTGGCGGCGTTCTCGGCTTCATCCTCGCTGTCACTAAGCTCGCCAGCCTTTTCGGTGCGTTGGTCGAATCGTCGTTGTGTGAACCGCTTGTCTTTGTTCTCATCCTCATCGAGGTCGTCCATAACGTCGTCAGCCTCGTCGTCCATGCCATCCAAGATGGGGTTTCGCGGCACATCCGTCATTTGGACCGAAGGAGCAAATGCCGTGCGCTTGAGGTTTTCAACAACTTGGTTGCGAATCTTGTCCAGGTATTCTCTGGTGTTGGCGTTGTCCATGTTGGAGGGGCGAACATCAAGCTGATAATCAGGAGCGAAGTACTATTGATGTTAGTATTAGGTAGTCTGGAAGAAGCAAAAATCTTACCTCATAGTAGTCATTGTATGGCAGCTCTGATCCCAGGGGCTCTCCAACAAGGATACCGGTCTCATAAGCCCATGTCCGTGCAACGTTGCGCATGGTGTAGCCACCACCGCCAAGAACCAAGGTTGGCAGATCAAAGCTCTTAACGAAGTTAACACAGTTGGCATGTCCTCGCATGCTCAGGTTGAAGCAGCCCAAGCGATCACCGGACAAACTGTCTCCACCGCACTGAAGGACCACGGCCTCGGGGCGGTACCACTCCATCACGCTCTTAATAACGGGCTCGAAGATGCTTTTGTATGTGACATCAGTGATGCCATCCCGGAGAGGAAAGTTCACTGCGTAGTTTTTGCCTTGCCCAACACCGATGTCGCGAAGCTCACCGGTACCAGGGAAGTACTCGCCGTATTTGTGGAAAGAACAGGTCATGACGCGATCAGTAGTGTAGAAAGCCTCTTCGACACCATCGCCGTGGTGAACATCAATATCAACGTAAAGGACTCGTTGTTTGAAGCGCAGAAGCTCCAGAATTCCAAGAACGATATCTACATAGATGTTAGCTTCTGAGACAGACGTGTGAGGACCGAGGCATGATACCATTGACATAGCAGAAGCCACTTGCTTCGCTCTTCTTGGCGTGGTGAAGACCACCAGCCCAGTTGACGGCAATATCGCATTTGTTGCGGTTCAGTCGCGCAGCGCCTTCCATGCTGCCACCAGCGCTGATTCCGCAGAACTCGAAGAGACCGTCAAACACGGGGCAATCGTCTCCAACGTTGTACCGGCTCTGCTCCTTTGAGAAGTGATCCATGTTGTCGGGTGTGACCTTGGACAGGAAGTCGATATATTCGTCGGTGTGGAACTGGGTCATCTCGTACTTTGAGGCAGGTTTCGCACGCTGATTTGTTAGTGCAAGGCTCAAACATGACAAACAGTAGAAGAGGGCTCACGTAGATCTCCATTTTCTTATAGAGGCCATAGTTCATCACCAAGCTGTGTGTCATGCGTATGCGATGAGGCTTCATCGGGTGGCCCGAGACATAGGCATAGTTGCCCACATCGGAGTCGTAGAAGTATGCGACTTTCTTATTTTTAGACCCAAGAAGTCTATCAGAGATAGGTTCCAAAGCCATGTTGCAGGGAGCGACTAAGGGGTCACTAGGTTGAGAGTGGAAAAAAGGTGAAGTTCACGAAGTGTAAGTGAGATCCGGGGAATGTTGAAGTAGCGTAGTTGCAGGCGCAATGCAGATATACTCCCAGAAGGGTAAATAGGCAGCGACGGCACCTATTGTCACCAGATCCCGCAATGCGAAGATTAGGTAGTGGAACTCAATCACAATAGCAAGCCACTGTCATTGTTCAGGCTATTGAAGAATAGATGGGGGAGAGAGAATCGCCCGCAAAGGAGCGGAAGCCGACCGAACCACACACCGCCTTCGTCAGGCAAAGCTCCCACGGCTTTGCTCATCATCACTTAACACGTCCTTGACAACCTTGCTATCTTCTCGCTAATATCACATCTGTCGGGGACTTTCGCTATCTTTTGTTTTTCTTTGAAACCAGTTTCAGCGATACCCAACTCCTAGAGACAAATCGATTTGCTTCGGAGCTTCCAAATAGCGATAGCTTCGCCCTCTCTGCTCTCGTTCATCTAGTCTTGTTTGATATCTCTTTACTATGGATCGCCTTAACCGGATGCTCCAAGCCGCTCAAGGCATGGGGATGGGAGGTGCTGCTCCTGGTGGTGTAAGTTGGATAAGACGTCTGATCTTCTTGTAGGGGAGCATCAATGGCAACACCCTAGCCTGGCTTCATCATGTTTCTCTACGTTGACTAATGAGAGCCGATATTTAGGACACTCCAAACCTGATTGATAACTCCGAAACTGTTCACATTTCCTCCTTGGCTCTGCTGAAGATGCTACGACATGGACGCGCGGGTGTCCCGATGGAGGTCATGGGCCTTATGCTGGGCGAATTCGTTGATGAATACACAGTTCGGGTAGTGGACGTCTTTGCGATGCCTCAGAGCGGAACTGGTGTCAGTGTTGAGGCAGTGGACCCCGTGTTCCAAACTAGAATGATGGAAATGCTCCGTCAGACGGGACGGTAAGCCTGTCAGCTGATACATGATGCATGACTCTCAAATGCTGATAGCTTCATACAGACCAGAAACTGTTGTTGGCTGGTACCACTCGCATCCCGGTTTCGGCTGCTGGCTCTCCTCGGTCGATATCAACACTCAGCAATCCTTTGAGCAGCTCACACCGCGTGCGGTTGCCGTTGTCGTCGATCCTATCCAGTCAGTGAAGGGCAAGGTCGTCATTGACGCCTTCCGTCTCATCCAGCCTCAGACAGTGGTCATGGGTCAGGAGCCCCGGCAGACTACATCAAACTTGGGTCACCTCAACAAGCCTTCGATCCAGGCTCTGATCCATGGTCTTAACCGCCACTATTACAGCATTGCGATTGATTATCGTAAGACGGGACTGGAAGAGAACATGTTGATGAATCTTCACAAGCATGTATGGACCGAGGCCTTGGAGATGAGTGACTTCCATGAGGAGGGTCGGCACAATGTGGACCGCATGAAGCAGCTTGTTCTTCTTGCGGAGGGCTACGAGAAGCGGATCAAGGAAGAGACGGAGCTGAGCAAGGATCAGCTGAAGACAAGATATGTTGGAAAGGTGGATCCCAAGAAGCGTATGTTTTTTTTATTTCCTGTGGCAAACCTCAAACCCCCAAAAAACAGAGACTGACGTTTTACAGACATCGAGGACGTAAGTCAACAGTTGATTGAGGATAACATCGTTGCCGTCTCGCGGCAGATGATTGACAAGGAAGCCTCGGTGGCACGGCAATCATCCAAAGAAGACACAAACGGTGCTGTCATGGAAGTTGATGAAGACCTCTAAATTAGAAAAGTGTGCCAATCAAACCGCTCTAATTATTTCTGATTGGTTGGACTTTATGTTACCAAACCAGACCAACAGATGAATGAAATCTAAATCTACTCAAATACTAACAAGATAGCACTAAATTCATTGTCAACAAGATTGGCCCTTGGCCTAAGGTTGGAAGTGCATGTTTGTGTCTATAATTCTGTCTCATGTGATCTAAGCGCCGCGCAATGTATAGAAACCGTAACATAATGAACGATGTCCACTGAACAGTGGACTATCATGACTCCAACTTGACTGTCTGAAGCGAGTTGCTCAATGCTTCGACAACATCAGAGGAGTAGGCTCGCAAGCCGTCAAATGCAGCATCCACATCATTGGGGTCATGTTTCTCGTGAGTTTCATCTTGAGTATCGCTCCAGCCTCTATCAGGGCCCCAGAGGATTTTTTTCTGAGCATTCCGGGTTTCCGTAAGCAAGCGAGTCATCAAATGTCCATTCTTCTCTACAGATGGCCAAGCATCGAATTCAACCTGAACTAGACCCGGCAGCCGTTCCAAGATTTGATGTAACAATTTGCCACAGAAGTTGGTATAGTAATCCTTGGAGATACGAAAGCCCTCAAACACAGGGTGTGAAGGGTCACACTGCACAAACACTTTCAACGTGCGCACAAGTTCCATATCGTGCAACCCTAAACCCTGGTTTACAACCCACGATTTTGGGGGTGCGGTCCAGCTTGATCCCACAATCAGTTCAATTGTGGTGATCGAAGAGCGGTGGCGTCGAGGCAAAGCCCGAATTGTGGGCATGCGCAAGAAGTCCTGAATGGGGAATACACGAAATGTCTGGGTCGAATAGAAGTAGTGAGTGGCTTCGTCGTGGATTTGTCTCGAGACAAGGAACAGGGCGATGCGATGGGAGGATGGTGCTAGAGGTTTGCTCTTCTTCGCTGAAGACCCAACACTGCCACCAGTGCGCTTCAATGCACTCTTCCGAGTCGGCGTGAACAGGACATAATGATAAATGTGCAGGCGGATCTCGGATGGTAGTTGGAGGAAAGGGAATCGTAGTAAGATCGGAGGTTCAGCGTCTGGTTCGGATTCAACATCGGAGAGTTGCTCCTCAAAATGGATCATCTTCTTTTTGAACCCCATGATTGCAAGATATGCAGGTGAATTCTATGAGATACGAGCAAGTCTATATTTGAACAGGAAGATCATATTTCTGGTCATCAGGTAAAAAGAAAAGCAGAAAACTAAAAAAAAAAAAAATACTGTGTCCCACGATCGGAGCGCAGCTTCACGGGAAAAACCTTTGCTGCGCTCTTGGTAGTGGGAATGAAGAAGATCTTCGTTGGTCTCCCCAGCTAATACAACCCGGCATGCAGAGAGAAATTGCTTGATAGGTCAAATTAATGTCTGGGTGAACTTTCTGAAGAGGAAAAGAAAAAAAAAAGAAGACTTGGTGGCCGTGGGGGTCGAGATATAAATGAAGTGCACGGATGGTTCGGATCCGCTGCCGTACCGAGTCGCGCCGACTTTTAACGGGAGACTGTGGTTTATCCCATCATTCAAGACATATTTGTTTCAACCCAATACACTATGCTTAGTCGTGTAGTCTTGCCTCTTACGAGGCCAAATGTCTTCGCCTCTGCCATTCGGGCGTCAACTCTATCGGCGCGGTCATCGCCGCACGTTGCTTACAAGCTTTCCCCGGGTCTCCAGCTAAGGGCGAAGTCGAACAAATCGAAGTCAAATACTCCTAAAGCAGCCCCAAAAGACTTCGCTGCAGAGCAAACCGAGTTCGATACAAAAGCCGAATCTACACAACCCACCGAATCTGTGAGGCTTTCCTTTTCGTTTTACAGAAATCATCACTGACGTTATCTTTCTAGGTCGAACAAGAACAAGCCCCACAGGCTCCTCTCCCCGATCTGACACAAGGTATCCCATCGACGCTGGCCGCAGAATTGGAAGGGCGTATGAAAAAGGGACCATTGAACCTCACAGAAGACCCTTCCCAGTCAGAAGAGTATGGCACAGACGGCAGAGGAGGTGGTGACATTCCCAAGGGCGGATATGAGACATCTATCGACCGCCGAAAGGCCCGTATGGCCAACATAGTATATGCAGCCATGTTGCTTGCTGGTTTTGCTGGCATGGGCTACCTGGGTCGCAACTGGGAAAACGAAGAGGAGGAGCGACAACACCCCGAGGTCCCATCCGGATGGAGTCCTGGTCTTTGGTACAGCCGTATCAAGGCCCGCACCAGTGATCTCACCAGCTACTACAAGGATCCTGCTTTCCCCAAGCTGCTTCCGGATGAGGATGCAGAGATGCGTCAGCCATACACCCTGGTACTTAGTCTTGAGGATCTCCTTGTTCACAGCGAATGGACCCGTGAGCACGGATGGCGGGTTGCCAAGCGACCTGGTGTCGACTACTTCCTCCGCTACCTGAACCAATACTACGAGCTCGTCCTGTTCACCAGTGTACCCAGTATGATGGCCGACCAAGTCCTCCGCAAACTCGATCCATACCGCATCATCCGCTGGCCCCTGTTCCGTGAGGCGACCCGATACAAGGACGGAGAGTACATCAAGGTATGCCGAATTCTTTTATTTGTACTCCTAGTCATGGAATGCTAACTATCTTCTAGGATTTGCAATATCTTAACCGTGACCTTTCCAAGGTTATTCTCATCGACACCAAGGAGGAGCACGCCCGCTACCAGCCCGAGAATGCCATTGTTTTGGACAAGTGGACCGGTGATCCGAAAGATAAGACGCTGGTCGCCCTTATCCCCTTCTTGGAATACCTTGCTGGCATGGGCGTCGAAGATGTGCGTACCGTGCTGAAGTCGTTTGATGGCACTCCCATTCCCGTTGAGTTTGCCAAGCGTGAGAAGGCGATGCGTGAGCGCTTTGAGAAGGAACTTGCCGAGGAGCAGAAGAAGAAGCCCTCGCGTGGTCTGGGCAACTTTGCTGCTGCACTTGGCTTGAAGTCTTCCACCCTGAACGGCGAGCAGTCGCCCTCTGAGGGTCTGGCTCAAGGCAAGATGCTTTGGGATCAGATCCGCGAGCGTGGCCAAAAGAACTACGAGATGATTGAGTCCGAGATCCGCGCGAACGGCGAGAAGTGGCTCGCTGAGATGGCAGCCGAAGAAGAGAAGGCCCGCCAGGAGCAGATGCAGAGCATGAAGGGCTCTTTCACTGGCATCTTCGGTGCTGGCTCCAAGGATCAGTAATCGGCGCGAGCCAATTGCTTTTTTTTCATGTCTAGCAGACCGTCAGATGTTCGTTCTGAGCATTAATGAACATGTGTAAAATAGGGTTTGGGGTTTGTTTGTAATTTTTGTACAAAATTTTAGTCAGAAATTTTAATATGAGAAAGACTGAGATTGAACCGATGTCAAGGTCGTTGGGCTTTGGATCCCTGGGTATATTGTTGAAATAAGAATCTAAAAGTATGATGATATTGTGATCATGTCAGATTCACATCTTGGAAGACGGATACATCCCATATTCCTGTCATTTCAAAGGGGAAACCGTCCATCGTTCCGAATGTATTAGATATCGACATCATGTCGTCGACGATGTCGTTGTTTGTTTGGGTCTCGGGTAGCGAGATCGCGGCCGGGTTGACCAGCCCGCTGTCTGCCATCGTGGTTGTGAATGCTTGGTCCATTGTAGCACCGGTTCCGGGAAGTCGATGCATGATTCGTTCGCAGTGGTCCAGACACATGTCTGCTACATCCCAGTCTTCTTCTTCCCGCACACGACGCAGGACAGAGCGTAGGGTTTCGACGTTGGAAAGACAGGATCGTGCAACATCGCTGTCAGTGGTCTCGAATGCACAACGAACAAGCAACGTCGCCGTTGACGTGAGATGAAAGGCGCTATCTGTCAAGAAAAAGTTAGGGAAAAAAGAAATATCAGAGAAAATGCTTCAACGTACAGGGTAGCCAGAACTCTGTGAAGTTATCCTTTCGCAAAGACGTCATGAAGGCAACAATCTCTTCGGCTGACCTTCTGCACTCCGTTTGGAAATAGCGACGTGCCTCGGTGTTTTCTGTTTCGGAATTGTTGACTTCCTGCAAAAGTTTTAGAGATCGCTTTTTTCGACATTCCCCCACCTTGGGCTTACATTTAGTTCAACTCGGCTGACCAGCATTTTAACAGCTAAAAAAGCCAGTTGCAAGCTGCTTGCTCCATAGATTCGTTCTCCGGAGTGAATTGTAGGTCCTCTCAACCAGTCCGGTAAGGAGTCTTCCCACGTGTCTAGATCTGTTCGTATCTGTCTGAGCTTCTTAGATGTCTCGCGTGCAGGCTTATGTTGCAACCCGTATACCAGTGGTAACAGCTCGCCCAAAGTCTCTGTTAATCGGCATAGGTAGATGTGACAGTGGGCTGCTCTCACACGTTCTGTAGTGCGGAGGTTTGATGGGACTAATACATCCACGGTGGGTAGAGGCACGTCGTACTGGTTTTTGGAAATTTGAGGTGGGACACCATGACCAAAACTTCCCCTAGTTATTGTTAGGTCTGTTGCAAGCCAAAAAAAAAAGATAGAAAAAAAAATCTTACCAACGATCGTGAATTACGACTCCCCACCACAGACGAATACGCTGGTTCTTTTCTGCCTGTGAGAGCTTCCAATTGCTAGGATCACGGTTTAGACCAAGGCAGTTTGCCAGAGATAACATACGACCACAGCTGACAGCGTTGCCAGTCATGGAGAAAATGGGTCGTCCAGTCAGGTCGATAAGTGCGGCGCTGATTGTGTCCAATCCGGGAGCTGAGAATTCCTCATGCAACGCGGCGACGGTCATGTTAATCGCATATCGAACGTCGGGCTTCGGATGACACGCAAGCTTTTGTGTGTGTTTCCAATATACGAGGGACATAGAATACACTTGGCACACTAGTGCAGCTGGTGGGTCATGCAGGTCCTCGGCGATGTATGATTCCCAGAAAGACTCCCCGTCAAAGATCGGAAAAGAAACGTTAAAACGATCAATAAAGCTAGAGGGGGAAATCTTAGCAGGGTTGAGAATGGGGGAAGGTCAACGGTCAACATACAGTCTCACGAGGTCATGTTTAAACGGCCCGAGTATTTGTTCGAGAACCTCCTTCTGGTTCTCGCCAGGGGGTGTTCCTTTCCGCATACCTTTCCTTCGCCGCGAGATAGTGGTGTAGAGGACTGGTTTCCGCGGGTCACTGGAGTAGATATTGTATGGGTGACTATTGGGCTCTTCCGATTGACTCATCCGCTCTGGTGGCATGTGCTTTTCAATGACTTGGGCATCTTCGGCTACCATAGGGCCAACAATGAGAACAGACTCATTCTGGGGATCGTCCATATCCTTCCGCCGCGAATCACTTCCACGACGACCACCCGACGAATTCGTTCCATGGGGGCTGGGCCCATTGATCGGCTGCCGGGGTGGCAGATTCTGGCTCATGCGGGCGAGTCCATCGGGACTGCGCTTACGCTTCTGCCCCGGCCAAGATTTTGAGTCCGGGGCACTCAAGATCGAAGCATCGGCATTGGCGTCCTCTTGATAGTGACAATCGGCACCTTGTACGCGACATAGGAGACAGGATTGACCGGGGATATCAACGGTACATCGAGACTTGCGCTTGCGACACAAGTCACAGGCACGGACCTTGTGGGAACGGTAGGGCCGGGCGCCGGCATTGAATCCGGGAGACGGGAGCTTGGAGGAGGAATTGACTTGAGCTGGGTTAGGCGACATGACGCGCGCCCAAATGAGAGGGTGATTAGGGGAAAGCGAAAGATAGTGGTTTAGAGATTTTGGTCGGGGTGTTTTCGGAGTCGGCCGATTAGTGGTAGGACAGAATGAGGGGGTATGAGCACGAGACCTGCGAGATAGGGACAGAGGGCGAGGACGAAATTGAGAGCTCAATATGGCTAGGGAGCTATTCAAAGCCGCACGCACATCATCTTGTACAGAGTCTCTCCAGATATCAGAATCGATCTGATTTTCTTATCAAAAATTGAACTGCGGGTATCCATGGATCCATGTGGGGAATGATGACTCACTCCACGTGAAACTGCTGACATAGCGATTTTCTGCCTTAGGCTCTTTCTATTTTTATCTTTGGACTTGGCGTGGACAATACAGACGAGCGGCATGAGTCGATTCATTGACGGTGTTGTCCCGCATTGCCTCTATGGGGTGACAAACTACACAGCCACAAGGCCCTATTTTTCTCAACAATGCCCGCGGCGTGCCTGATCCGTTGTATGTAGATAGAAAGCGGTGATCATGGAGGATACCTCTCTCTCTGGGGACCCTTTGGTCCATCAAGCGGACTCTTCTGCATCGCCCAATCTAAAGACTTGCTTTGACCGGCTACCACTTAATGTGATCGAGCAGTAAGTATCTATATTACCGAAGATTCGCAACCTTGTGTTCGTCCGACATTTGTGGCCTTTACGATCAATCATTGACTGCAATTCTTACTGAGTCAATAGCATCCTGTACGCTTCCGATGCCAACACATTTGCATCACTGTCTCTGCTAAATCGAAGATGGAAGCATTCATCCGATTCCGCAGCATTGTATGCCTTTCAGTTGTCACGTTGTCCATCATTTTCTTGGGCTCGCGGGGTCATTCCTGAGGCAGAAAACCTCACTGAACTCAAGCGCCAATTTGTCAAGCAGGTCAGGCAGAATGTTTTTGATGCATTTTTACGACCCCGGCAAACTCTCGTGCGACTAATTTCAAGTTCTATGAGCTCGTCAACAGCGTTCCCACACGGTGAAGTTTTCCGATTCTCATTTTCAGGGAATGGTCGACTGGTTCTCGGCATCAGCTCTTCTCGCATTGTCATACTAGACGTGGCCACTGACCCAGTCGCTGTCAAGCATGAGCTCAAGACTCGAAGGCGACCACTGGGAGCCACAATCCGTCATGACGGCTCTCTTGTTGCTGTTTTGTCTTCCACGCATCGAGTTCACATCTACCAGCTCTGTGATGATGAAGCCAAGCATCTTCAAGTTATTACGTTGAACGATGCTCCAAGGAACATTGAATTCTCTCCAGCAGGTAGTGTGTTAGCCTTGGCATTTCAGGATAGTATTGAGATATACGCTGTGGGCGAAGGGGCTTTGTCAACCGACCGCCGGGCGGTGCGTTGCCCCCGTGTCGATGCACTTTCATTTTCGCCTGATGGAGCAATGCTTCTTGGCTTTGTGGCTGAAGGTATCACCACCATCACTCCTCCTTTTTATACTGAGACTGGAACGGATGCCTCGCCCGAGGAACTTGAGATGCGAATGTGGACAACACAAATCCTCTTTCCTGAAACCATTAGTTGCCGTATCACTCATGTCTCACTTGTTACTGGTCAAGGAGAAGCTGACGATCACTGGGTCATTGGATATGATAAACAAGTGGGAGCGTTTAGGGCGCTCCAATTAAATAAGAATGAAGGTACTGTTTACTTCTGCAGCCCATTTCTCGCAGATGAGTCTCGGGAAATACGGCCAAGCATGAGACCCGCCACAGATGATGCGGGAGAACTTTCTGTTTTGGGATTCCAAGATTCAGAATTGTGGATATATGGGATGCCTGACTTGGGTGCAAGTAAAATCTCTGGTACCCAGGTTGGTGGTGGTCATCATTTTGAAGATTGTCCGCCTCACGACAACCTAGTACAACTTCAGAAGATTGTTCAACAACCGAAGATCTTGGTCCGGGGGCGGCGGGTGAGTGGCATGCGTGGGATCACATCCGCTCATTGGGTACGTTCAGACTCAAGACGTCGTCGGAGACTCGTCGCGGTAGCGCCTGGTGGTGTGCACTCACAGAACTTTGGCGAAGAAGATATTCCAATTGACAGTGGCCGAATCCTCCTCCTTGATTTTGAGCGCTCCATTAGGAATGGTGAAACGATTGAGCTTGATATCGAGGTCGGAGAAACCGCACCGAAGATTCTTATGGAGCCAGACTCTTCTTTGGCCACAGAAGTTGAACTTGAAAGAAGGCGAACACGAATACATCGTGGCGATAATGCTACAACTTTCGCAGCCATTGGTAATCTAGCGATTACTCGAGAATCTCGAGCTCCGCCACTTAACAGCCTTGCAATTACTACCTCGCCAAGCGAGACTTCTCGAGGCGATATAATCGACCTTCCATATGACAATACGCAGCCTCGTTCCAGTGAGATTCTACATCGAGCCGCCACTGCGGCTGCATCTACCCGTGGGCGATATGACCCTCGATATCGTAATACCTTCAACGCCCCTCGACAAATCCCTCATGAGAGTGACGCCGACAATTGGGTGCCACCTCCTCCTCCTTACAAACGCGAGACAGTGGACCCGTTGCCAGATGATCTACAGCGAATGCTTCTCCACCCAGTCAATGCCGCCAATTCTACCCTCCAAGCTGAAAATGAAGCAACCCGTCCACGCTCACAATCTGTCAATTTTCAGAATCCAGAAACTTTGACTGGCGCCAGGCACACAGAAAATTCCAATGCCGGAGACTTCAACCCAGAGCATTTAGTCCCCCGAGATTCGTTCACAATCAACCTTTCAGAAGAACAGCCTGGATCTATTTTGCGTTCACCTACAACGATTGAACCCGCTACGCCTACGTTTGCTGTGTATCCAGCTGAAATACCCCCACACGAAAACAGCATGTCTCTTCCATATTTGAGATCCTCAGCACTGGGCGATGCACATGGTGATGCTTACTTCCCATACTCTGTATCATCGCCAAACCTTCTTCACATTCCACAGCCATATGATGACGGACAGGGCACTGTAGCAGATGACGAGCATGAAATATCTCAGAGGCAACAGTCTTTCCGCAGGAGGGTTTCAACAGAACCCTCTAGCTTACCGCCACCAACGAACGAGGAATGGCGCCGGCGCATTCAGGATTGGAATGATAACACGATTAAGGAGCGGGGTCGTAAACGAAGGGGGAAGTGCCATGTCATGTAGCTTTCTATATCAAATGTCCAATTCTCCATCTAAGACAACTTTCAAACTATAGATACAAGTCTTTATTTCCTGCACAATGATCATGAGCTATTTTTCACATTGAACAATGTACCTTGTACAATGCCACAAAGTGGCGTTGCGTGGTATACCACCAAACTACGATGTAGACTGCTTCATATGTTGCCTCGTGTTTCATTCCATGATAAGTAGCAGCTCTGATATACTGAGTGGTATCACATTGTTCAGGCGGCTTAGAGATCCCTGTAGGACGAGTTTCCCGCTGGTTGCCCTTTTCCCACTCAAAACCAGCCATTATCATGGTAGTAACTCGTCACTCCTCTATACACAGAGGGGGAAAGCCTTGTCGAGTTGACCACTTACTAGCTTTCAACTAAGTCTCCTATCGATTATGAGCATATTATAATTGCAGCACAGCTGCTCTTGGGTGGGAATTTAATAGGAGCAACCATTAATCACAACGAAACAATGGTATTGAATTGACCGAGTGAACAGACAGGCAAAAATCAATATACAAAAGGCTATGCTTTGTGGGGTATCACTGAAACAACAAAAAGGATCTGCCCATTTCCAATGGATGCTGGATCTATACAAAACAAACCCACGCAACACAAAAAAACATGACATGCATGCTCATCCCAGTTTTAATATCCCCTTATACAATGTACCATATCTCATATCCCATCATCACCCTTAGACCATGCACCAAATCCGGAGTTTGACCGACTGAAGAAAAGATACGCTGGGAGAAATTATGAATTTGTGGAAGAAGTCATGAGTCCTGAAAAAGCCCTAAAAGTCAGCAAATCGAAAAACGAAGTAGAGACCACTATGAAATACCAACAATTTCCAGCTGTCTTGGGAAGAAAGCTTTTTTTTTGGTTTTTACTTGTTTGCTCCTCATCAAGGGCTTTTTTTTTCATTTTTAAGATGCCCGAGGAGGGAGAAGGGAGAAATGGATTCCGAAGATTGTCGGAATGTCCGTCCAGTAGAAACCTAATCCAAGGTCCGAAAAGAGGACAAACATGTTGAGCAAAATTGACGCACATGGAAAGTAGTTATAGACGTCAAGAAGTTCACCCAGAGACCTGGACCTGGACCTGGAGAGTGAACAAACGTATCGAATGACATAGTTGAAAACAGAAAGTAAGTTTCGAGTGAAGACAAAAAGAGACCCATAGTCTTCAAGGGTGTCATCCGACAAAATTATAGTGCAGGGCCCACGGAGAGAAAAGAAGCCGGAAAGCAGGTCGAATTGGCTGATAAGCACAGGGTTGAGCAGTGTTGTAATTTGTAAGTTGCTCCGAAATCGCTCAAAACATAAAGGCATTGACGATGGTTGCTCTTCCAGTAAGGTATTGTGCGACTATCATTGGAAGAAAATCAAGACGTTTGAATCGGAATTGGAATGATGATCGACTCTTTATCTTGTTGAATTGGAGTGAAAGCATGGTTGAAATCGAAGCTCCGATCGATGGCCATGACATTCTTGGTCCAGAAAAGGCTTGTCTCGTAGCCCAGTAGAGAATAGCTCAATCTGAACCAACAGACAGATGGGTGAAAATGGTAAATAGAGGTCAAATTGATGTGTTAACTCGCAATGTTCATCCAACTGAAGCCGTCCCGTAAGCTCAGTGGGAATTTTTCTTTGTTTGTTCCTTTTTGCAATCAAGGCCTGGTGAGGTGACCTATGCAAAAGATGGTGAGTGGTGTTGACGGCACAAGTGTGTGTTGATTGCCGTCCCACAGACCACCATCAAGATGATGAACCAGCCGAAATCTCCATTAGCCATCATGAGAGGAGCATATAGCTGGCCGATAATGTACCGAGTTTGATTGTGTAGAAGATAGAGGGTGTCCGATGCAGCGAGTGTGATGATTAGTCGTTTGTCCAGTTAGGTCCTCCCCCAAGAGGTTGTGTGAAAAAAGTGATGATCTTTCCATGTCAGTTGAATGATTGATGCAAATGAAAATTACCATGGGGTCAAGTGGTTGGAACATCGAATCAGGCAGGTTTGATGATTGTTGTCCTGTCAAAGATTGGTTGGTCGAAGGAATGAACTCAGCCAAAAACTCATTACCAAAAGGCTCTGGTGGGGGATGCAGTATATGGAACGGTTTCAAAGAGTCAATGTAAACTCAGCAGGATTGAAGTGAAGGGTTATGAAAGACAATCAAAATGTGTCTTCAACTCGAGCTTCTCCCAAGATGCCATAAGGGGCATGATCGTGCGATAGAATCGTTAATGCGGACGAGGGCAAATGACCCTGGAGAGAAGACGATGATAAACTCGAAGAGGGCAAGATGGTCGACTGGGAAGATGCAGTGGACAGACCGCGGAAAAGACTGACGATGCGACTTTTTCTTTTTTGGAAAAAATGTTCGCGGCCTTGGACTGAACCTCAAGTTGGATAATGAGGCGCAGAAAACGATGTTTTTGTAAGTTTGGCCACGGACGACGGCCAAAAAACAGAGCCCAGAAAACAAAAAGCAAAGTAAAAGCGACGTGAGACAACGTCACAAGAGAGACAGACCTCTCACCTCGAGTGAAAGTGAAAGTGAAGTGAGAGCAGAACTGGTTTTTTTCTGTGGGCTTTCTGTAATCATATCTCTCTCTCTCTTTTTGATTTTCAGTTTTTTTTTTTTAAATAAGCCTAGAGTAAGATTGTCAGCGCTGGTGTCTCAAAAGGGGTTGGAGGCCTACTTACATATTGGCCAGTCAACTCAATATCCAACCCAACCACCATACGAAAAGCTTCTGAGGACGCTAGACGCGGCCCCAACACAGCGTTGTACCAGCAAACAAAAGCGCTGCAGGACAGCCAAGAAGGACCTAAACAACCCTCCGAAGAGAGGAGTTCCTTCGAGGTGGTCCCACTCAGACGCTTTTGTTGCTGATACATGTCCCACCCCCACCGAGCCATCTAGGCAGGACGCTGTCGACGGCGACGGCGACGGCGGGATTGCTGGGAAGGAGCGCTGTCATCGGGCGAAGTCATACCACAGTCCGTAGGAGGATCAATGCCCACATCCGTGAACAAGGGAGTTGGAGAAAGAGGACCACTCTGCAGGTCATCCTGCTCCGCCAAACGACCAGGAACGAAAACCGGAGCCAAAGCCGACAAAGGCGTCGAGCCCGAAGATATCGCAAGAGAAGCACTGGAAGCGTAAGAGGCTAAAACATTGGAATGCTGAAGTTCCTTTTTTTCCTGTCGTGCTTTCTTTGCATCGCGACGTCTCTTTGCTTGCGACGGACGGTTTTTCCTCCTGAAGTACGCCGGGGTGGAATCAGGACGCTCATCTTCCGCACCGCTGCCAATCAGACTCTCAGCCGGAGCCGGAGAATCCTCATGGTGGGAGGCGTAGAGAACAGTCGAGTTCCAGGGATGCCGAGAGACCAAGTTCGCGCGATCGTCATCCGCAGTGTTAACCGGCTTGGTGGTATTGCACGCCGACCCTGAGTCCGATGCCTGCTCATCTCCCAGGCCTTTGGTGATCCGGTGGACCCAGATACCTCCAGACTGAGAGAGAACCGACACTTGAGACACAGATTCGGGACAATTGTCTGCAGCCTTGACCCAAGTAAGAATGTCCTCATCCATTTCCGTTGGGCCCGCGATCAGAAGATCCATCTCCTCGTCAAAGGAAGATGAATCCTCTTCGGCCACAAATTGCACACGTGCAATTTGCGGTTGGCCCTCGAGAACCTTCAGAGTCCACATAATCAAGGTATCAAGTCCGGAGTACAACTGCTGATGGTAAGCAATCAAAGCCCAGGGGATTTGTACGAAACACCAAATTCCGAAAAACAACAACGTGGCGAAGAAGCCTTGCCCAGGCTTGGATCCAAGCAAGTGGATGTCGACAAATTCCTCGGGAGCAGAAGATGTCACTCCATCACTTGACCAAGACGAGACCGGGATGGGTACCAGGAACGGGGTTGGAAACCAGGACGGCATATCATCGGCCAGACCAGGCTGGACGATGACATCCATACCAAGGCTAACAACCAGAAAGTCCGTCGAGTTTGCATACCCACGGCCATCGTGAGAACGCGACTCCCATACAGGATGCTCGCGCTGGGAAGCAGGCCCGCGCTGGGAGGCGGCAGCGTTCACCAGGTCACAGAAGGCCCAAGACTCCATCGTCAGCTGGAATGTACCAGACAGACGCCGCACGAACGACTGCTCTGGAGCAGTGAACCCCGGGATGGGGAACCACTGACTCCAGAGAGTCATGCCCACGAAGATCCCCAAGAAGGGGACCAACATGTTGATGATTTAATTTTCTGCACAAGGGAGAAGACAGAGGAATCAGCATGTGTCAACACGATTCAACAGAGGCAGTATAAGATGGAAGGGGGAATTGATTTAAGACTGATACTTTTTTAAAAATAAAATTGAAAAACAAACGCCGGCAAGACCGGGGACGCGGGGGGAGCAGAAAGGTCACAGCGCAGGAAGGCGCCGTTGAAAAATGTGTTGGTAACTTGAGAAGAGAAGAGAGAGAGAGAAGAAAGAAAGAGAAAAGT